CAAAACTTATATAAAGATAAGTATTTTGTATAAGTGTTGATATAGAACGAGAGGAATTAGTGGTAAAATGAATAAGAGCTGATATCTTAAATTTTTATTTTTATTGTTTATTGCTATAATACAATTTGATTGTCGTGTAAAATCTGTCGAAATACACTAGAAGTACCTATGCTTATCATATAAGGAATAAAAAAACGCGGAAGCATAGCACAGTAGAACAGAAGAACAACCCTATCGTGTGAATATTAGAATTATCTTTATTTATTATATCTATTGAAAAGACATAACTTATAAAAATACAGATAGGGATTGCATGTAGGAGCGGAGTTTTAATATAACTATATTAAACTTATTTTACTTAAGCAATAATTATTACGAATAAAACTCAGTACTTTTTACAAGTTACAAGGAATAACAGGTTTTGTTATAATATAATATAATATAATATAATATAATATAATATAATATAATATAATATAATATAATATAATATAATATAATATAATATAATATAATATAATATAATATAATATAATATTAATAATAATAATAATAATAATAATAATAATAATAATAATAATAATAATTGGAGCATTCTAGCTTAACATAGTCAACTGGGCGACCTAATAATAGTCTTAGTTTTTCCAATACACTTTTAACACAGAATAAGATGTTCAATAACAGAGAGCACAATGAGATGATTCATTATCGAACACAATTATATTCAGTCCCTTTGTTCGTTATTGTCATGTATTTACGTACTCAAGCTACGTATCTAATGAGTTTCATCGAATTTAATTGTCCTTGCAACGGCTTTTGGAAGATCCCATGATTTCTTTATCGCGCAGCGCGTTTACATTGTTTAATTGACAGGAGTTGAGAAAGCGAAATTTCATCATTAAAAAAAGCATCGTCGACATCAAGCTCACGTGCATCACACGGGATACACACGCACCAATAGCAAAGGGTTGACATTCACTAGGACTGTGAAAATATTGCATAAGCACCCAGTTAAAAAATACACTGGTATCATCAATAAACTGCTCCAAAATCAAAATACTCATCAACGAGTCTTTGCTTTACTATTGCCGAGATATTCACCGCATTCGCATTCTAATATTGCATTGACAGAAAGGGTAGACGAATGAGATTAAAGAAATAATAAAGAATGAGAACGATCGGGGGCATTCTTAATGCGAAGGGGGTAAAGAAGATCACGGTACACTTCGTTATAATCATTACATCGCGTAATAATAATACAATAATAATTGTGGGAATACGATTATAATTTTGAAGGCTCCTCCAATCGTAAAATTATGCGCCGCTGGGCCTCCTGACGATTGCGCGCGGTTATAAAATTGTAAATATATGTAAAAGTATTTTGTACAAAAAATCAAGAGAAAAGATAAAATCGAATATAGAGATAATAGGGCATAGGGGCGTATTTATATATCAATAGTGGAAAATAGAGTATTTACATATTTATTTCTTTGCCCGAGGCAGCACATTCGGTCACAGACGTTTAAGCGTGAGGCGGGGCCTAGAATCCGGGTTCTGTTGGCTGCCAATGCACGCGACGGAAAAATCGGCTAACCAAAAGCGCCTCCAATGAAGGAAAGAAGGAAAGAAGGAAAGAAGGAAAGAAGGAAAGAAGGATAGAAAGAATGTAAGAAAATGAGGGAAATAAGAAAAAAAAAAATTAAAAAAAAAACAAAAAACAAAAAAAAAATCACCTATCTTTTCTCTCGCAACAAGTTTACGACGCGACATTGTGAATTCATTGTGCGAATCCAACACCCTCTTGCTCGACCTCTGTCAAATAACAAAACACGTAGCGTTTCTGGCTTTGGCGCAAACCACGTTTAGAGAATGAAATTACCGCCCACCGACGTCTACAGTAAGATTATTACAATTGAACAAAGCCTGACACTTTGCACGCAATTATGCTGATTACATTATCATAAGGTTATGCTTGGAGGCTAGGAGGCGGCGATTGATAGAGGTTCGCGAATTTTATGTTAAAGAAAAGCAAAGCGATAGAGAATAAAGAAGCGAGAAAAAAAATATTGCCGTAGGAATGATGGGCGTGGGACGGGGAGGGGAATGGAAATGGCAAAAATATGAGAAAACATGAAAAAATAAGGAGAAGTGAAGAGCTAAGAAACGATTCAGCCATACAAAATGGAATGTCTGCGTATGGACGACATCGACGTACGTCATGGGCAATAAATGATTCTCCAACCCCTGGAGTGCTTCACCTCCTTCGCCACTACCACACTCTTTATTCTCTAGTATTTTCAAGGATCTACCTAATCGACGTCATTTTATTACGATACATCCACATATGCACATATACTTTATTAAAGGCACAATTTTCCCTTATATTGTCTGTTGTCTTGTCTTTAATTCAGTTTATAGAAGAAAAAAGGGAAGTGTGTGTATAGATAAAATACAAAAACAAAAAACAAACAAAAAAAAAACAAAAAAAAAAAAAACAAAAAAAAAAAAACAAAAGAAAAATAAATTTCAACGGGTAAGTCAAACATAGAATAAAAAATAAAACAAAAGTAATGAAAAAGAAAATTGAAAGAAAGTGTGAAAAATGAATAATGATAATTGACGTACAAAAAAACATAAACAACCAAAAAAAAAAAAATACAAAAAAAAAATAATAATAATAATGATGATAATAATAATAATAATAATAATAATAATAATAATAATAATAATAATAATGAAAGAAAAAGAAGAAGAAAAAAACGAGAGAGAGAGAGAGAGAGAGAGAGAGAGAGAGAGAGAAAATAAAATCTTAATTGGTTTCTTTTTTCTAAATGCACTTTTGTGTACCTTAACATAGCGTTTAAACAAACACGTATGAGATTACATTTGTATACATAAGATCTGTGTATAAATCGCTAGGAGGAAAAATCGCATTTTCCCCGGAGTGTTGCTTTTTCTTTATTTTCTTTATTAAAAGAAAAAAAGAAAAGGAAGGCTCTTGCGCGCCCGTTCTTTTAAATATTACAAATTACTATGCACTAAGTTTCATCGGTATGCTCAATTTATCGCTACATCGACGTCCCAATTTGGGTTAACGTCTCACCTCCTCGTTTTTTTCTTCTTCTTTTTCTTTCATTATTATTATTATTATTATTATTATTATTATTATTAGATCGTTATAGCGAGAGAGGCGCGCTGCTTTTTATAAAAATTCAATCTTACATTTGTCGCGTCGGGTCTTCTTCAATTATCGTGCCGTAAAATATCATTTCTCTGGCACGTTTCGAAGGCACCAAAATCAGCGTTCAACTTCCCGTCCTTACGACCTTATTAAGATTTCCCATAAAAAAAATATCGCTACTGCGTTTTAAGAATGTAGGCACAAGTGAAATTCATGCGATCTCTGCTATATCTCTGCTATACACAAAGTTGTCCTGTTTTTTTTTTCTTTTTTCATACATATATATATATATATGTACGTAACTTACACGCACTCACACTCAGCAGGCATATCCCCATACGTATGTATGTATGTATATATATATATATATATATACGTATGCGCGTGCGCGTGTATACGTACCTTATAAAATGCTTGGGGATGATAATATGGTGAATAGAAGGGGGAAAGTGATAAAGGGAGGAGAAAATACATACAATAGTGCGCGCGGTTGTACGCACCGATCGACGGATCCTTTAATTTTCAAGCATAATTGTGCATTTCGGCGGCTACTTTATGGCTCTGAGTCACGGCCAATTAAATAAAATAAAATGTTTATTTGCTTGTCGGCTCGTAGGATAAGTCGATCGGGGCCATCACGGAGAGGGAAAGATTCGCGTCTCCTCCTCGTCGCGAAGTCTGCTCTACCAATATGCACTCTCAGCTTCCTCGATGGATCGTAATTGGGCAAATAAATTATTTTATCGTCCGACCTAAGACGTCGATGGGGATGCGAATCCCGCGCATCGAGTCGATCGGCCAATCAATCCCCTCTGCCCCTCCACACGCACGCACGCCCTAACAGTTGGCCCATATCAATTACCGGATTGCCCCCTTCGAAGCCACCAAGATACGAAAGGCCATCCCCCTCTCGCCCGACCCGCCGTCCCGCCCCGTGTGAGTAACTAAGCACGTGCCGCTTTATTAGTAAACAAATATGGCGCAAGGGCGCGAGATAGTTTGAATTAGGTCAATCGTTGACTCGAGTGGGATGCGATATGATGTCAACGCGGCGAAGGGGCGGTGTCGTTTGTTATCGCGACTAGGTCGCTTGGTGGATTAACGTCCCTTTAAGATCCATCGAGTGATGGCAGCGTCTCGTTTTAGTGCTAAGGAGGGGGCTGCTGCTGTCCATTCGTCCTTACCTTATTGCCCGAATGATCGAGCGCTTATCGTAATCCTAAAATACATCACACCGCACCAGCGATTAGCATCTTCGTAATCGTTCGGCTTAGAGTCCGTAAGAGCGCAGTAATACACGATCGCCAAGGCCTCGTGGTGGCCCAGCAGGCGGGCAACGCCAAATAATTGCAAGATCCTTGGCGAGCGGCTCTTAGGCGTTTCGATTCTTAAACGCCAAGGCCCCGCACCCACGCACGGGCGACGCGAGCCCTCGTTCGGCCTTACGCGACCGTAAGTCGTCTCCTCGATTATATAATTACTTGTAACGATTGTGTGATCGGTCCGACGGTGGTGGGGGCTCGCGGCTCCGCACTCCCGTCCCGCTCGACCACCTCGACGTCATTTCCCTTCCTCTTGGAGGAGGACGATTAATTAATCACAGTTCCCTGCTTAATGTCCCGTTTGACAAAATGCCCTCTCACACACACACACACACACACACACACACACACACACACACACACACACACACTTTCAAACTCTCACTTTCTCTCTATCTCTCGCTCTCACTCTCTCTCTCTCTCTCTCTCACGCACACACACACTCTCTCTCTCTCTCTTGCTCTCTCTTGCTCTCTCTCTCTCTCTCTCTCTCTCTCTCTCTCTCTCTCTCGCGCTCTCTCGCTATCCGTTAGTCAAATGATAGCGGTTCGTAGGAGAGGCGCGTGTTTGTGTGGATGGAGAAGCTGGAGGACCCCGTGGCGCACCCCTCAGATATAGATGGCCTCGGAGCCCTTGTTGCTTTGGTGTCCGGCGGCGGCGCTCGCCGAGCCGTAGGCGTTCTGGGGCGAGGCCATGCACTCGGACCAGTCGCTGTTCGAGTGGGGCGAGCTCGAGGACCAGTGGCCGGGACTGTCCGGGGAGGGCGTCGGGAAGCTCTCGGGCGCGTGCATCAGATGCTGGGGCGTGACGTCGGGACCCGAATGGTGCGAAGGCGGCGTCAAGTACTGGTAGTACTGTTGCTGTTGCTGCTGCTGGATTTGCTGCTGCTGCTGCTGTTGTTGTTGTTGTTGTTGTTGTTGTCTGCTGCTGCTGCTGCTGCTGCTGCTGCTGCTGCTGCTGCTGCTGCTGCTGCTGCTGCTGCTGCTGCTGCTGCTGCTGCTGCTGCTGCTGCTGCTGCTGCTGCTGTTGGGGAGTAGGTTGCATCTGCTGCTGTTGAAACTGTTGCTGCTGCTGGTGTTGTTGTTGCTGTTGAGGGGTTGGCTGCATCTGCTGCTGGGGGTAGGGCAGGGTGTCAAAGTCAAACCCCACCGGCGGCATACCGCCGTGTTTCTGGTGGGTGGCCTGCCTCATCGCGGCGATGTGAGTCGGCGAGGTCGGCAGGGAGGGTCGGCTCTTGGCCGGTGAGGGCGAGCCCATGTAGCTCGCCTGGGGCGAGAGGGTCATGTTGGATTGGACCGAGTGGGGTGGTGACTGATTACTGTAAGGCGGCGATAGAGTATTCACGACCATAGTCGCGGCGCCGTTGGACTGCTGGCGCTGTTGCTGCTGGTGCTGCTGTTGTTGCGCGGCCAGCAGCTGCTCGTGAAAATTTGGCAGGCCGTAGCTCGTGAAGCCGTCGTTCGTAAGGTGGCTGAGTTGCTGCTGCAGGCTGGGAACACGAGAGAGAGAAAGAGAGAGTGATAATAAGTTAGACGGATCGTCCCTCGGGCCGAGGTACATTTGGTCTCGCTCTTCGCCATTAGACACGAGAGCTAAATGTGAGAGGGTGGAGCCTGTTCGATGGGGTGTACAGGCTTTTTTTTTTTTTAATTTTTTTGTTCCTCGACTGGATGATCGTGGGAGCAAATAAGTGTCGTGATAATGTACCTGTTTTGCTGCTGCTGCTGCTGCTGCTGCTGCTGCTGTTGCTGCTGTTGCTGCTGTTGCTGTTGTTGCTGCTGCTGTAACGTCTGATTCTTGATGCAATCCTCGTAGGGGGGCGGCTGCTTTGCCGCTTGAGCCGCTGCCGCGGCCGCGACCGCCGCAGCCTGGGCCACCGCCGCGGCGGCGGCTGCTGTCGTTTGCGTGTGGGTTGCCACCGCCGCGACCAAGGGCGGCAGCGCGTTGCTGTAGAGGCTCGCGCTGTCGTAGGGGCTGGGCAGACTGCCCTCGGCCCCCTCTGCGCCCTGGGGCAGCTCCTGGTTGGGATTCGGCTGGGCGCCGCGCTTCGTCGGCGGCTGCTTCTTAACCGAGGGTTTTCGCCGAACCGAGGCCGCGCCGCCCCCGCCGCCGTTTTCCGACTCCGGGCTGTTGGGATTGCCCGAGCCGGGCTTCGGCCGCTTCTTTGACTTGGACTGCTTGGGCGCGCCACCGATGACCGTCGGGTGCGCAATGAGCTGAGGGTGGTTGGGCGAGCCTGTGCGCACGCGAGACGAGCGGTTAAGTTGTCGTGGGTGCGGATTCGGGGGGTAGTCCGCGCTCCCGATGCGATATGAAAATTCGATTTCCTCACCCATGAGCTGGCCGTTGGGTATAACGGAGACCATCTGGGGCGACCTCGGCACGTGCTCGTCCAGCAGTCGAACGATGTCGTGGTGGAGGCGCTCGCTGGCCACGTCCCGCGGCAGTCTGTCCATGTGGTCGGTGATCTCCCTGTTGGCGAACGTGTCGAGCAGGGCCTTGCAAGCCTCGAAGCTGCCCTCGCGCGCCGCCAGGAACAGGGGCGTCTCGTCCTTGTCGTCCTGGGCGTCCCTGTTGGCCCCGTGAACGAGGAGCACGTTGACCGCGTCGACGTTGTTAACGGCCGCGGCCCAGTGTAGGGCGCTCTTGCCGCTATTGTCCGCGGCGTTGATGTCCGCGTCCGCATTTATGAGGTCCTCGACCATACCCTCGGTGGCGAGTCTCGCTGCGAGTATGAGGGGTGTCGTGCCGTCGTGCATGCGGGCGTTGAGGTTCGTCGCGCGGTTGCGCAACAGAATTTGAAAGACGCCCATCGCGTCGGCGGCGACGGCCGAGTGTAGGGGCGTCCGACCGGTGTTGTCCTGCGAGTTGGCATCCGATCCGGCGTCGAGGAGCCGCTTCGTCGCATCCGCTCGAGCGTATCTGTAAAACGAGGCGGCCACATTGGCAAGTGGCGAATTAGTCGCATGAAATCGTGTGATGATCACCACGACTGTCTTTGGGTGAAGGGGATGGGGGTGGTACGAGGTTTGGCTGTGCTATCCCATTATTTGTTATTATGAGTATCAGCAGTATGAGCAGCAACAGCAGGAGCAACAAAATGAGAGAGAGAGAAAGATATAAAGATTTACCTAGCTGCGAGGTGGAGGGACGTCTCGCCGGTCTTGTCGGTGGTGGCATTGAGGTCGGCACCCTGCGCCACGAGATCGGCGATTACGGCCGCCGTGCCGTCGCTCTCCTCGTCTTCCTCGCCAGTGTCGAGTCCACCGCCGCGGACGGCCGCGACCATTAGGGGCGTCATGCCGCAGGGACCGCGGGCGTCCACGTCTTGACCGTGCTCGAGGCTCGGTGGCGTGAGCACGCCGGCCTCGGGTCTATTGTGAACCTCGGCTGCGTCGAGGTGCTGCTGGGTCCACATGCGCGGTTCGGCCTCCTCGTAATCGGTGACGACCGTGTGGTCGCTCGCGTAACCCGGCTCGATGGCCCTCATCCTCTTCGAGGGCGGGAGATCGGATTCGTCGTCGGACCACTGATGCGCCCGGCCGTTGCCCACGTCAAGGTCCATACAATTGATACCCGGGGGCTGCTTGTTGAGATTGCGCATTTCCTGCCCGTCGGGACCGCGTCGCCTCGATCGGCGCCTCTGCACGCTACCGCCCGACGTCCGGATGAATCCATCGGGGAACCAGGTCGTTATCTTGCCGGGATGACGGCGCTGAGCGGTTACGAGCACACCCACGAGGGTGGCAATTAGAATGACAATTACGCCGCCGATAAAGACGTATTTGTAGTTGGTGGGTGTGTCCGGGTAATCGAGACTCGGCTCCCCCGCGCCGCCGACCCG